GTTAATATGCGTCATAACAGAGTATAGATGGTTGATACTGATTACATTTAAAGATAAGTTATATTAATAGTAACACGCCATCCATGTCAAAAGTGAGTTGTATCTCAAAGGGCTTACCTCGTTTTCTTGACGACGTGTTTGTTTATCAATCTAAAAGTAGCGACGGCGTCACGTGGTGGATTTACTTAAAAATAGACATTATTCTCCTTGCAGGATAATAAATAATTATAATTTGATAACTTTATAACGAATTTTATTTAAATGGTGTAATTTACAGCATTTTCGTAACTTTTATTGGTAAACAAAATATATAAATTTCCAGCCGTATTTTAAAATGGCGCACGTTATAGCGTATATTACTTTAAAGGTTAATAGTGCTAAAACAAAAATTGTTCTATTTGGTAAAGGTAAAAGATGTAATAATAATACATTTAAGTTTGAAGGTGTTCCATTGGAAACTGTTGAAAATTTTAAATACTTAGGAGTAACATTTAGTAAAAGTGGATCTTTTAATTTGAATATTAAGGATATGTATGAAAAAGCTACAAAAGCAATGTATGGTGTTCTTGGAAAATGTAGAAAACATAATCTTTCAATTGACTGTAAACTAGATATGTTTGACAAAATAGTGAAACCAATTTTGTTATATGGTTGTGAAATATGGGGATTTAGTAATGTCGCTCTTATAGAGAGACTTCATCTAAAATTTTGTAAGCATATATTAAATCTTAAGTCTTCCACGCCTAATTTTATGGTGTATGGAGAACTTGGTAGATATCCTCTATCTATTAATGTTAAAACTCGTATGATTTCCTTCTGGGCAAAACTTGTGGTATCACAAGGCACAAAAATGTCATCAAAACTATTAGTTGTGTTAAATAATTATGATGTATCATGGTGTAATTCTGTTAAAAATATCTTGAATGAGTGTGGATTGGCTTATGTATGGCAACAAAACTCTATTAATATTACATGGTTAAAGAATAAGGTGCAAAATATTCTTGTAGATCAATTTAAACAATTGTGGTATAGTGATATGTATAATTCACCAAAAAGTCTTAATTATAGATTGTTTAAAAAGTCATTAACTTTTGAGAAATACTTGTTGAATTTACCTCCTAAACTTTCTATGAAATATTGTATTTTTAGAACTGGTAATGCTAAGCTTCCAATTGAAACAGGTAGATGGTATAATATTGCAAGAGAAAACAGAATTTGTCACCTGTGTTTGTGCAAGGAAATAGGAGATGAATTTCATTATTTATTTAAATGCACTGACCCATACATTAAGAATTCTAGATTAAATCTATTGCCCAAATATTATTATACAAATCCTAATGTTTTTAAGTTTGACCAACTATTTAATTTGAACAGCAGGGAAAAATTAATTAAGTTATGTAAATTTATTGGAACTATAATGGAGAGAGTTGGCTCTCTTGGTTTGTGACATTGTCATTTTTTTTCCTTTTTCTTTGTCTCACGCATGCTTAATTAATTAATTGTAAATATTTTATGTAATATCCTCTCTATACTGTTTGTACAGTTTATGAGAATAAAGTCTTGTCTTGTCTTGTACTATTTAAAAACGGAATTGCCTACAAATTTTCCATTTAGCCGACAATGTTAATGTCAAACAAAAATAGCAATAACTTTCATAGTTTTTAACTAAGGGGTTGATATACAGTACCTTAAAGTTCTTCTGTAGTATTATTCACTAAATTATACGATATCTCTTGATTTGCCACTACCTCATGTAAATAAATAGTAAAGACTCCATCACATTCGCATCAACCTTTACTCTGTCCCTTTGAAACTTTAAGTAGAGACTTGAAAAAAAGCCAAGGAAGGTCCGGGTTTTTTATTCCTCGACACCAAAATACAGGCTTGAATCAGTGGAGATATGAACAGTAATCAAGATCAAAAGTCCATAAAACAATACAAAATAGGAGCAGAGCAAACACGGACCTCTAAAATATCAGAGGTGGGATCAGGTACCATGGAGGAGTAAGCATCCCCTGCCGACCGGTCACAATTGCCGTCTGCTCCTTGTCATGATCGGGAAATAACGGAAAATCCGTCGTCAATTCAGTGTGAAAATAATGGACTAACAATAAGTATGAAAAACGTCAGTTATCATTTGACTGAATGATAAATTGTATTTGCTGACAAGGTCATTGTATCGGCAATAGAACTTACAAAATGATGAACTGAAATAAGACTGCTGATATAATCATATTCTTGTTTCATCAACTTGTTTTTCAATAATTTACCTCTTTTAAAAAAATTGTATATACGTATAGAGCATGCTCTTGCATATCGAAACAACTGGTATGTAAACTCCGTATGCAGGTGATGAGGGTATATCAACTGATCCATGAATAACTAAGGGAAGATGACGACTGAAAAGTTTTATACTAAAATCATTACGTTTTTCATAAAGCTGGTTGTTAGATTATCATTTACGTCTTTTTCTAGTAAAATATCCCAATACATGTACAAAACAGACACTTAATATGTACAATTTTTAAAGAGAGGTAAATTATTGACAAACACGTTGATGAAACAAGAATATCAGCAGTCTCATAAAAAGTCATCATAACGTAATTTATAGGATCGATACATATAGAGTTTGTCATGCATTATTCACACACTGAATTGTCGACGGATTTTCCCGATAATTTCTCGATCATGTCAAGGAGCACACGGTAGGTGTGACCGGTTGGCAGGGGATGATCACTCCTTCATGGCATCTGATCCCAATGGAGATCCGTGTTTGCCCTGCTTGGGTTAGTGGTCCGCCTTTGCTTTTCTTCAAAATTTGTATTGTACAATGGTCTTTTGAGCTTGAATATTGTTCGTTCTCTCCATATGTTTGATAGACACACATTTAAGTTTTCACTAGGCGCATTGGTGTAAAAGAGTGGCGTAGTCAGGAGCTGCTTCTTGCGTCGCGGATTTAAATTCCACTTTGGGAAGTAAAGACCGGTCCTTTGGGTTAGACCGTATAAACCAAGGTTCTGTATATATATTGCAGTTGTTCTGGCATGAAAAAAATCCTTCACTGCTGAATGCATGGCCCTAAGTGTCTAGTGTAAGTTATTCACCGGCAAGTTGTGGCGTCAAAATATTAGTGGAAAATTCGTAAAAGGGAGGTTAAAATCAAATAGATACCGACGTATGTAACTTCAAAATTATACTCAAGGTAAAGCTTTATTGAATCAAATGGTTACTATGCTCTGCAATAATGATTTATCATTCTAAAGCCAACCCTCGTATATAAATTGTTTGCACTAAACCGATGCAAACACAAAATTTCATGTAAGTATACAAATCTCGAAAATCAATCAATATTTAGAACTTAAATTTACTTGCATCAATTTGCACCAGTAATGCAAAACAATCAGCATTAGGAATCATGAGCAACAGTAAACTATGCATAACACTTGAAACTTAGTACCACTTATCACCATGAACCCTTTTCAGATCACATTTGCCAGGAGAGGGCTATATATTTGCATGCTAATTAAATTTACCAAAGCAATCCTCAAGTACAAACCTTTCTCTCAAGATCAGCGCTAGTAAGATATATAACTCAAAGATTATGCAAATGCATGGACTTTCGACGGAAGACTGTAGGTCATTTAGATAATATCATAAAAGTATTGCGTCATTCAGATGAGGACTTACGAGTCGAAGTTCATTCATATATTAGACCATGAACCCCTCACTCACTCTGGGAGGGAAAAAAGCCTTACCTGCTTTGGCACAATTTTGTATAAATCCAAAATAAGTATTCACCCTTAGTTACATTGCATTGGAGTGAAGAATTCTCCTTGTGTCATAATAACGCAATCAATACAAAACTTTTCAGTGTGATATAATAGTTTACAATGAATCTACCTGCGTGGTACAATAGGTTTAAATTTTTAAAAAGGTTTCCTGTTCCAGAAAAAAAAGTCTTCGTCGGACTTTCCTAAGCTGGTAAAGAATACATTGTGACCATATATAACATATTGATAAAAATGTAAATTAATGGAAAAGGTGATCAACGAAAAGTGGTCGATCTAAAAAAAAAATTCAACCAATCTGTAAACAGGATACAAACAGGGACCTCCGGGAATTTCGGACATGGGATCAGGTGCCAAGGAGTAGAGAGCGACTTCTGTTGACTGGGCACACCCGCCGTGGGTCCTATGTATTGATCAGATAGGTTAATCATTCTGTAGTCAAATTCTGTATAAAACAAATAATAAATGTTGTAAATTTTTCATTTATTTAACTCCTCCGAGAAAACATCTAAACTTCATACAATTTGTATTTTAAGAAATCAGTGAACATTCCACCTAATATAATAACAGGATGAGTACCATTTGACGAATGACCTCGAATTTTTATTATTCTTTTTTTTTCATTGTGAATTTGATTATTAATATATTTTCAGCAAATACAATATATCACTGAGTTGAATGCTAACTGATGTTTTTCATACCAATTGTTAGTCCATTATTTATACAATGCATTGACGACGGATTTTCCGTTATTTCCTGATCATGACAAGGAACACAAGGCGGGTGTGATCGGTCGGCAGGAGATGCTCATTCCTCCATGACACCTGATCCCACCTCTGATGTTTTGGAGGTCCGTGTTGGCTCTCCCCCTATTTTGTATTGTTTTATAGACTTTAGAGCTTGAATATTATTCGTTTTCTCCATATGGTTCATACAAATGGATACATTGTAGCTAGCGTTGCCTTGCTTAGCATTAAATGCATGTTTTTTAAAAGAAGTTTAATCTAATTAAACGATAATATTTTTTAATAAAAGCTTAAAATTTAATTCAATTAGTGTTAATTTTACATTTAAAAAAGTCAAGCATTCGTCCCTTATTCAAATGATGCAGTTATAACATAGTTTATTCTGATTTGAAAAACAAGTAAAGGAAATTCTGACGTCAAATGCTATAGTTTTCCCGACATCTTACTTCAGAGAATTATATTAATTAGATGTTTTACAAGCACATACACTCTTGTTTGTTTATAAGTGCCGCTTCGACAGAAAAAGTCGTTTAGGATTTTGTTTCAAATCAAAAAAGAAAATGGGTTGTTTTCAGGATCTAAGGAGAAGAGAATCCTGTAAGTTGAGTACCAAGCACTGCGTTTTTGTGTCAATATTCGGAGTTCTGCTGATATTGGGACTAGGCATTTTAATATCATCTGTTGCGTATCTTCACAAATATGATAAAGACTGTGTTAATTCGGGAGTCTTTACATCGCAGGGCATGGTGACTGAGAGAATGAGTCAGAGTAGGTTCTTCACTGTGATTTAATTTCTTTTTAAAATTTGATTTAACGAGAGAGAGAGAGAGAGAGAGAGAGAGAGAGAGACTACTTTTTGTAGTAAGTGCTATATTTATGTAAAGAAACTGTTTTTTAGTTTGTGCTTATAACTATTAGTCAGAACTATACTAATACTAGTATTTTGGCATTGTTTCTGAATTTATTCTATCCGTAGTAATGGATATATATTTATTATAATTAGTAATAATGTAGTTATTGTTGTAGAGAGTGCACTATCAATAGTAAGTACTTTATTTATAGTTAAAGTAAATAATATAGTTTACATTTTCAACTTTTCAAGTTATAGTTGATATAGCCTGTCTGTCTGTCTGTTTGTTTGTCAGTTTGTCCGCAAAAACTTTAACCTTGACCATTACTTTTAACTGATAACTCATATTGCTTTAAGAGTTTATATTATCTGTAGTAATTTTATTTATGTACAGTTACGGCTTCGATTAGTGCTTAGAGTCTAAACGTTCTTTAGTAAATACTATATCTATAAATGGGCACTGATTTTGAGTGCATTCTATCTTTATTAAGTACAATATAGTTACTGCTTAGAGTCAAAACCTTCTATAGTATTTAAAAGTACTATACTTTTAGAATCTATAGTTTATACTATATTCAGTTTCAGTTTCAGTTTTATTGAAGTCGAGAGACATACATCTCATAGACATAAAACATGTAATAATGAAATACTGAGTAAACATACATCTTAACACATGTAATAATGGAATAAACATACAACGTACATGTAAAAAGCATATAATATTTCTGATAATCTATAAAATTGATAAAGATGCTGTTCTTAAGGCATTCGCTAATTGCAAAAATTTTCCTAAATTACATAATTCTTTTATATTCTGTGTACTAAGTAGCTGTGTTGCAACCACTATTGAAATAACGACCACTATTGAAATAATTATATCAATAGTGGTTGAGAGTTCATTTCAATAACAAACATAGTTAGTAACCACTATTGAAATACGACCACTATTGAAATAATTATATCAATAGTGGTTGAGAGTACATTTCAATAGCAAACATAGTTAGTAACCACTATTGAAATACGACCACTATTGAAATAATTATATCAATAGTGGTTGAGAGTGCATTTCAATAGCAAACATAGTTAGTAACCACTACTGAAATACGACCACTATTGAAATAATTATATCAATAGTGGTTAAGAGTGCATTACAATAGCAAACATAGTTTGTAACCACAATTGAAATACGATCACTATTGAAAGAATTCTTTCAATAGTGGGTGAGAATGCATTTCAATAACAAACATTGGTAATAACAACTATTGAAATACGACAACTATTGAAATAATTATATCAAAAGTGGTTGAGAGTGCATTTCAACAACAAACATAGACATTAACCACTATTGAAATACAACCACTATTGAAATAATTACTTTAATGGTGGGTGAGAGTGCATTTCAATATGATTACCATAGGTTTCAGCCACTACTGAAATATGAGCACTAATAAAATAATTATTTAATAGTGGGGAAGAGTGCTTTTCATTATGATTACCATAAGTTTCAACCACTATTATAATACGACCAGTATTGAAAGAAAAGTTTCATCGCCTAATTTTAAATTTTTTATCCAAAACTTCACAAAAATTTGATTTGGGGTGAAAATATATACTTTAATAATTAAAGTGTATAAATTGATAAGGATGGTTTTAGTGAGGCAAAATTTTCAACATCACAGAAGGATTTCAATTTCTTTATATTCCAGAAATTTATTATTTGCATCATTTTCAATGAAATCAGACCAAAACATATATATCAATCCAGTCATCTATATTTTGTTTGTATCATCTGTCCTTAAATGAAAATTTAGATAGTTATTAATATTATTATTTCAAAAGTAATTTAAATAATTATTTTGATAGTTTCTGATAATAATTCAAAACTAAAACCATAATTTAATCCATATTGAAATCTTTATTTCAAAAGTGAACATTATTTCAATAGTTGTTGCAACCTATGTTTGTTATTGAAATGAATCTCATCCAGTATTGAAATAATTATTTCAATAGTAGTGGTATTTCAATAGTGGTTATTACCTACGTTTGTTATTGAAATACACGCTCAACCACTATTGATATAATTATTTCAATAGTGGTTGTATTTCAATAGTGGTTACTAACTATTTTTGCAATTGAAATGCACTATCAACCACTATTGATATAATTATTTCAATAGTGGTTGTATTTCAATAGTGGTTACTAACTATGTTTGCAATTGAAATGCACTCTTAACCACTATTGAAATAATTATTTCAATAGTGGTCGTATTTCAATAGTGGTTACTAACTATGTTTGCTATTGAAATGCACTCTCAACCACTATTGATATAATTATTTCAATAGTGGTCGTTATTTCAATAGTGGTTGCAACATAGCTGTACCAATTTGAAGACACTTGGTCTTCGGGAGTAGTAGAATTTAATGTATTTTTTTCTAAATGTGTTGTAATGTGGACATTTTAACACAAAATGGAATTCATCTTCTATGTTACCTAATTGACAAAGACTACATGTTCTATTATTTCTTAAAGTTTTATTATATCTTCCTTGTTCAATGAATAAGTTACACATGTATGCACAGATAGTCTTAATCTGGTAATTGTTACTCTATATTTCATTGGGCAACTGCAAGCAAACAAATCTTTATTTTAGGACCTTCCTAAAGTAAGTACCTATATTTTATATGGACACTGATTTAGACTATCTCAAGTAAGTTCTATACTTTTTAAAAGAATAATTACCTAACTTTTTAGAGTCCATGATCCTATCTATAGTAATTACTACACCTTTAGAGTGTAGACTATCTATAGTATGTACTGTACATTTCAGAGTCAATGCTATCTATAGTGAAAACTTTACTATTTAGAAAGTCTATGCTCTCTATTGTAAGTACAATACTTTTAGAGTCTATGCTATCTATAGTAAATACTTTATTTTTAGAACCTATGCTATCTATAGTAAATACTTTATTTTTAGAACCTATGCTATCTATAGTATAAGTATTATACTTTTTAGAATCTATGCTATCTATAGTAGAAGTATTATACTTTTTAGAATATATTCTATATATAATAAGTACTTTATGTTTTAGAATATATGCTATCTATAGTATAAGTACTATACTTTTAAAATCTATGCTACATGTATCTATAGTAAGTACTACAGTTTTTAGAATCTATGATATATTTAGTTAGTACTATACTTTTTAGAGTCTCTGCTCTCTATAGCAAGTGCTATACTTTTTATAGTCTCTACTCTCTATAGCAAGTGCTATACTTTTTAGAATCTATGCTTTCTATACTTTTTAGAGTCTCCACTCTCTATAGCAAGTACTATACTTTTTAGAATCTCTGCCCTCTATAGCAAGTACTACATGTATACTTTTTAGAGTCTCTGCTATCTATAGCAAGTGCTATACTTTTTATAGTCTCTGCCCTTTATAGCAAGTACTATACTTTTTAGGGTCGTCTCTGCTATCTATATATACTTTTTAAAGTCTAAGCTAACTATACGTTTTAGTGTCTCTGCCCTCTATAGCAAGTGCAATACTTTTTAGAGTCTCTGCTATCAAAAGCAAGTGCTATACTTTTTAGAGTCTTAGCAAACTACACTTTTTAGAGTCTCTGCTATCTAAAACAAGTGCTATACTTTTTAGAGTCTGTGATAACTATAGCAAGTGCTATACTTTTTAGAGCCTCTGCTATCTATAGCAAGTACTATACTTTTTAGAGCCTCTGCTATCTAAAACAAGTGCTATACTTTTTAGAGTCTCTGCTATCTATAGCAAGTCCTATACTTTTTAAGAGTCTCTGCTATCTATAGCAAGTACTATACTTTTTAGAGTCTCTGCTATCTATAGCAAGTGCTATACTTTTTTGAGTCTTACTATACTAAAAACTATACTTTTTAGAGTCTATGCAATCTGGTCCATGTTCCACTTCTGATTCCTGTCCAGATGGCGCTGTGTGTAAGGAAGGCGTCTGCTCGTGTAACGAAACATACCTAAACTACAAAGACGTCTGCCACAAACGTTTGTAATGTTTGAATTTATATTACCAAACAGACCCACTTTATAATATAAAATGGATATTTTTACCGACAAATTTTCGATTAAAAAAAAAAACAAGTATTTTCTTAAAAATATTTCAATGTGTTGTTAATTAACTTATTTTGTCAGAGAAATTCCTTTTTTCTTTAGTTACAAATTTGGCACTCGAAAAGACTGTTTCTGCTAGTTCTACCTTTTTTTCTGAGAACAACAGAAGATGGGAAAATGCTGTCGATGGACGTACACGTGTGAAGAATCATATGCTGTTATTTCACACGGGTTATGAACTATTTCCTTGGTTATCCATTTATCTGGGAACTGAAGTATGTGTCGTCAAAAGTATCATTTTATTTAACAGGATCGACAATCATGGTACGTTATTAATTCAGTCCACGTGTGAAAAAAATGCATAAATATTATATTGAAAAGTTAATTTTGTAATAAGCAAACAATTCATTGATATATTGACTTCACAAAAACAATAATAAAGGGCACGAATTGTGAGGTCGATACGCTTCGGTTATGCCGTGAATACATTGGTATTACATTGTTTTAAAGTTTTAATAGAGGCATTTAGGACTATTCTCTGTAATTTTTGGACTTTCAAGGAGGTGTGTCATTCTTGAAACTACATGATGAGCGTCTCTAAAATGGCGACCTAGGTTCTCATTGGTTAAGAAATTAATAACATAAGCAACTTTTCATTGAATTAAACAATATTTAATCAGTAAATACTGAATAGATTGGGCAACGGGCTTTAAGCCTAACTTTACATTGTTGTTGACAACAATAAGATGACTTAAACCTCACCTCTTTGCCGTGCGAAACGCTTTCATTGAATAATTGTTACACTCGTTGATATTTATGGCACG